AATTCTTAGTTATATCACACTGTTTGCAATTAAGTAGCATTACTGAACGACATTAGTATGAATAAGACAATTATTAATGTACTTGTAGAAACAATTCAGTGTTTTTTTTAAATATTCAATATGCAATTGAACTCATTTTGCATTCTGTAGATTTTGCTCTGTTCATTCGCTTCGTGAAGGTTTTCTGACTTCAGGCAAAATGCCGCGAAGAAACCGAATACCACTCGAACACAGAGAGAGAATCATGAAAGGATTTGAGGACAAGGTAGAAGATTATCTTGTCGTCGCGGACACGTTCGGAGTGAACCGATCAACGGTAAAAGGCTTTATGGCGCGCTACATCAAAGAGGGCAGGATCGAGGAAATACCACGAGGAGGTAGAAACAACGTGCGCGTGGATGAGGAGATGAGAGATTGCCTAGAGGAAGTCATCAACGAAAACTGTTTACTCACACTTGCCCGGATAAACAGCGAACTGAGGAGACGACTATCACTCAAACCCGAAGTCCATGACCACACCGGGGTAAGGACATTAGACGAGTTGCTCTCCCGAGTGAAACTTGCAAGGCTCCTCCCTGCTCACAGAAACAGATACGATGTGCTGAACAAGCGAGTCGATTACGCCACCTGGTTTATGAGCCATGCCGTAGTGCGCCATCGTATTTTAGTCGACGAATGTGGCTACAACATCTGAACGGCCAGAAACCACGGCAGAGCTCGGCAGCAAGATAGGGCGTACCGTTAAGTGTGCGGCCAGCGAGGACGAAACTTTACCGTGACCATGGCAATTTCGCCCATCCATGGACTTGTGTTTTCCTCAGCAGTTGTTGGCAGAATGAATGCTACGCGTTTTGATAACTTTCTGGCACAGGCGAGGACAAAGCTAGATCCCGACGAAGAGGCAACCTTTGTGTATGACGGAGCACCGGCCCACCGAAACCCAGTCATTCCCGCCACAAACACAGAGCTTAAAATGCTTCCACCCCAGAGCTTAAAATGCTTCCACCCCTGCTTTTGATCAGCCAGAGCTTTTGCTCTGGCTGATCAAAAGCAGCATTTTTTATGTTTCATTTCCTCCATTAAACTTGAATGTAACAAGGGAGTCTTTCGCTAGTATTAACTGGTGAGTTGGCGATTACAAACGTCGTAATTGAGACAATATTACGCATTTTTCTCTGACTATCAGCAGATGCATCGCCGAAGTCCTCCACTTGTGGCAATGCAGTCTATTAACTGGAAGACAAACAAAGAGCTTAAAGAAACCAAAAAAGAATAAGTCGACAGGCGACAACTGTTGATTAAAAGGATGCAGGAAGTCGATTTTTTGTCAGGAGTTGATGGGATCTTCCTTTAGTATAAAAACTACGCTACGAAACCAATTTCTTATTTTAATTTACACCAGTCACTCGTCTTCATCCTCCTATAATGTTATTTTCTGGTAAAATTCATTCGGATTCATCTATCATATTTATTCTCACTCCCTTTACTTTCATTTTTGGCAAAACTAATATCTTTTTTTATAGCTTTTCAGTGTCGGTCAAAATTACTGTTATTATCCACACTTATTCACGACAAATGCGAGTACACTAACACCATGCATTCTTACTCTATGCCCCTGAGTAAGTATCAAAGAATATCTGTTTTTAGATGTAAGAGTTGTTTTACCAAAAACCCATTTGTCAAAAATAGAATAAAGGTTCGTTTACTCTCAACCCACAGCAGCGCTCAACTTAGACCATGGCGATATACCAGTAACCTCATCACAGATGTCTAGGCAGAGTCTTCTTACTATGGATAACTTCCATTATCTGAATGTTACTCATATTGAAGAAACTGTGGTATACGACGACTTTGAATGCACATTAAAACGCCTTCGCCATCCTCTGTGTGTCTCCGTGAACCTGACCGCTGAGGGAGACAGCAACCCCAATGAATACAAAGAAAACAAGAGTTCGCATCACTTTTACTTTAAGGTTGGAAGTTATTTTTATGATCAACTGAAAATGACAGCTAAATCACATCACCTAGGTTACCTGAAAGGAATTTGCGAGACCAAGTTCTAAATGCCCGACTATTTCAGAAAAAATCCTGATAAACACCGCGAAAATGCAACTGTGAATTGAATAATATTCATGATTACTCATGAAGGACACATAGATGAGAGAAAAGAGGACGAAACACACTTTCACCATTCTGCTGAGGAGTTAGTTTAGCAAAAAACGCGATGATGGGCCATCTCTTAATTCTAAGTATAGCTTTTATTCTCATTTCTCTTTATTTCGGTGTTGACTGAATCATTTTTCGCTGGTTTGCCTCATTTAGGAGAGACATGAAATGAAGAAATTGGTCAGGGATGCAAGCCGGGTTACAGGTACGGTAACCCGGCTAACAGTGGTCGTTTTCATGTTGCATTTAGAACAACTTTTAGCGACTTCACCCCAGGATCCCGGGGTTGGAAGATTGTATGTAAACACGAGCTATTTTTCGACCACAGCTAGGTGAATTACTTCGCTTATCTTGGGTCACCCACCTCCATGTAGCGCATAGAGTTTTTGTGTTTGGAACGTTTCCTATAACGAATTCACGTCTCCAGACGTGGGAGGCTTATAAAGTAGGGGTAAAGAGTGTTTAGTGTATTTTCTCCATTCTCCAAAGTGCTTGTGTTGAAAATCCCTGCAAGAACAACTCCACTTGTCAAGAACGTTTAGATGGAAAAGACTATTCCTGTTTGTGTTTCGGTGGATTCAAGGGTCAGACTTGCGATAAAGGTAAAACGCTTCTCTACGTTGTCACTGTTATAGTAAAGATGTTAGCACCTCTTTTTATGACTCAAAATCATTTTGTGAGCCACAATGGAAGAGTTTAGGAGAAGTTCAAATTAGGAGAAAAAAATGAAAAAAAAAAGGACTGGCTTCGACTGATAGACTCATTTGCTTTCTATTTCTTTTTCTCTATTTTTTGTTGTATCATTTTTTTATACCAAGAAGGTACACAAAAGCAATTATCCAGGCTTACATGTACAGTTGTACGATCCCCTGGTATTAATGCACACAGCATACTTGACTATTTCCTTTGACGATGAAAATAAAAGGTTCAATAAAATAAATGATCAAATTAGTCGCGTGCTAAGTTAGGTATTTTTCCTTTCAACTGATTGAGTTGCACTGTAAATGTCACAGATATGAATGAGTGTGCTAACGGAACGTCCAACTGCAGTACTGATGCTGTGTGCATTAATACCAGGGGATCGTACAACTGTACATGTAAGCCTGAATACAATGGAGATGGACGCAGTCGCAAAGGTAAACTGACCAAAAGCTCCGATATTCTTTACTGAATAAAAAGTGACTGAAAACTAGGTGAAAACAATAAAATTCAACCATTAAATGTGCTTTGGGGTTTTCCCCACTGAATACTTTGAGTTAAATATCACAGAGGTTGACGAGTTCAAAGGAGTCAGAAACTAATTCTAAACTGATATGGTGCTATCTGCCTCTTAAACCATATTTTTAAAATCCAATTTAAGTCTCGTTGTTGGTCTGGGGGATGGGGGAAGCCTTGTACTTTATCGAGTGGAGTGTAAGTCAGCCTCACCCAAATATAATCTGCTTAGATTCCTTAGATCAAAGAAATAAGTATAACGGGTCACTTGAGTTCTCTTGTATGGCAAAAAAAGAAAGGAGGAAAAACGAGATAGAAAAACAGAAAGGTAAATTTATTCTTAATCCTTTCATTAGTTGATTGTTTGTTGCTCTAGTGATCCATTAGAAGAACGTCCAAAAGGTAATATCAATTTATATCCATTGAAAATAGCTCAGTTTTAATGTGCTCTTCTTTCTGGTTGAACTGGTAAATAAGTCCTTAATATGAATAGAAAATCGCAGACTCCAACCAACTCCAATCTGGTATTTCTAGTTGTCCTTCTAGTCTTAAACCTCAAACCAAAATCGAGTTTAAGCTCCATTGGGGCAAAATGATATTCTTATAGTTCTAAAAATTGATGAAAAATTCCTAAACAAAAACTGTCTTTTACCTTTAGTGTCCAGTTAAATTAATACAGAAATGCAGTCAGGCAAGTACATGTGTTGGTCACTGATTAAAAACCCATACGCCATTTCTAGACAGACGACCAAAGTTTTCTGCACCTTAAGTTTCTTTCGATACGCCATCCTCCACGTGAACTACGAAAAGAGCTTTATTAGAACATCGATTACTTGTCATTCGAACAGATTTTTATTCGGGAACATTTCCCGTGTTCGTCGACCTTCTCGCCACAATTTTAGATGTCCCCTTTCGATTCGAATCAAGATTACTATCTTCTTATCACTTTTTAGAGAAGAATACCGAAGATATCTCAGAAAAAAAGAATATATTAGAACAGACTTTGTTGTTGATATCTTTTTTATGAATATTTTCAAGAGAGAGGACACATTCTTTTGGAGCGGAGAGTACAATACTTATACAATATAATATATTATACTAACAGAAATGCTACTGCTACTAATTACGTTACCTAATTTAGCATACTACCAGTCACTACAGGTTATGTTAAGTTAAAATACATCTGACCACGTTATATTAATTGAAAGTAAATGATCATCTTAGAGTCATTAAAATTATCTTGCTTGAATGAAATCTGTTTAAAGTTATAGTTAAATAAAAAAAGACAATATTTGGTCGATGTTATGTGTAAATTCCAGATTTTCGATACCTTAGCTGGACAAATCATGTGGACATTTCATAAGTAGCATTACGATTGTGAGCTGGATAAGCCGGAGTTGTACAAGCGCCAAAATCATTGTGGGTGTATGGAGGAAATCAAAAGGGCTTTAGCACTGTTCTAAGTCACTGTTGTGAGGTTGCTTTTATGTTTCTGCTACCAAATTATTTACAGTACCTCAATATTAAAGAGCTGATCGATGACGAGACGAAGAATCAAGATCTCACGAAGTTATTTCATGCTAAGCCCGACTCATAATAAAAATAACCCTATCTTAATGTTAATGAGCATTAACCATTGAGTCGAAGAGAGAAATAAACTCTTTATCCTCGTTTAGTTCATCCCCATCGATGTTCTCTGTGCGTCTAATAAGCGCGCTTATTCTTTTATCTAATGTTCCTAATCGTTCCTCCGTGCACTGAAGGAGACTTTGAGAATTCAAACAGAATGGTTCTGCGTCTGAACGACACATATTCACAAAAGTTGCGTCGTCACAAAATAGTTTAAATTCAGGTCGCCTTTTACCCTCTTGGAATAAGTCTATGAAACGTTCCCCAATAAAACGCGCCATTTCAAGCTCTTCTGCACTTTCTTCTGCGTTTTCCCTGGCGTCAGTGTAAGACTCGTTTAGGACAGATACCAACATATTCATAAGAAATATGGTCATCATTAACATGAACAGGAGAACAAAAGTTGGACCAATGAAAGGTTTATCTTTGCGAAGATCAGCAATTGGTACTGCTTTTCCCAACAGAAATTCTAATTGTGAAATGACAGCCTGCAGATAACTAGAATAATGATAAACTACTCCTCCAAAAAGCTGCATTCCTGATATGACAAAAGCGTTAAATACTATGACAAAGAAAACCAAATAGGAAAGTTGGTAGCCTATAGACCGACGGAAAGATGAAAACAAATATATGACATAAGGATTAAAACGAATCAGATTTAAGAGCTTCACTGTAACCATAAAAATTGCAAGAGCAATAGAAGCGTTTTCCCAGCTGGCCCAGTTTAGAGCAGAATGAAAATGAAATACTTCGAAAGGATTTTTTTTAATTGCATCGATGCTGTTTAATATTTTCTTGGATCTCATCATGTAGCACGCCACGGACGTTGTAGAAGAGATGATCATCAAGAAATCAACCATGTTCCAGACAGACTTGAAAAACCCCAACCGTTGTCGATAAAAGTGATACAGCATCATGATAAAGTAGAATAATACCATTGCCAAAAATAAAAACTGACAAATGAGATAAAACATAAGAGCTCCTGATTCCGTACTGTACAACTCGAGGGTGTCTACCCTAGTCACAGAGTAGGCTGCACCAGCCGCAATCATCTCGTAGATAAACGTGACAATGCTGATAAGGTTCGTATTGATGTTGAACGTCGCAAATTCCAAGACTACAGCACGAGTTTTTCGATCAAGCCAGCCGCTGCCAAAAGTCTCACTTAAGACACGATTTGCCGTTTTCTCGTCATATCCCAGGACGGCTACGTAGCCACCTCCACCATAAGTGTTGTATACGGCCTTTACAAGGCCAGTGTCCAGAGTTTCAGCACTCTGATAACGCCATGGTTTCGGACAAATTCGAAGTGCCTTTGGCCAGGACGCATTGAGAGAAAGTGGCC